GCGATCTCTACTTTTAATCGTCCAATGAGGTTCCTTCACTGTGTTATTTCCACAAACAGATTTAAATGACACATTTCAAAACGCAACAGCTGCTTTGCTTCATCATTTGTGCATTTATGTACAAGTTAAAGACGTTTTACCGTCGATGTTCCAACAGAACGCCGTCTGTTTTGGGATTTTCTTCCTTTGTTCCAACATAGTAAAACTAAATCTTGTTTTATGATCATGTGAAGCTGATTGCTGAATTCGCATTTAAATTAAGTTTTAATTTCCATCATGTTTGGCTGAAGCAGAATCAGGCGTGTCTTCTTTTTAAGCGCATCATGTGACCAACTCAGTTTAAAGTCTATCAAGTTAACAGTCATATGTGGAGTCGCTCTGTTTTATTTCTGAATAATAATCAGAAAACGTTTGATTTTTTCGCCGCTGTGGCGTCATTTTACGTTGCTGTTGTGTTCGAGAGGTTCTTTGGGAGTCGTGCGTCCTAAAGTCACAGATTGTTTTCACTAACAAGGGTTTCATTCCAAAGAAGACTTAATATTATGAAGAAATATGGCTTGTTATCAGTTTTACATTCATTTCGCGGCTCTTTTTAGGGACACAATCGCCTCCGTCTTTGATTTTCTCGCTCATTTTGGAGTGAAACCTTTGTCTCGTACCTCAGCAGATCAAGGGCTTCAGTTTGCTTTTGTTTCCTGGATTCTTTAAACCATCCTGAAACGTTTGAGGGGAAAAAACAAAACCTGCAGTATGTACAGTTTTTTAAACGGAAACCAACATTCCACAGTTTGTGCTGAACGCAGCCTTCGAGCTCCACCTTTGACTTCAGGTTTCAGTCGGCGGAGCTTTTGTGAATCTGGTCGCAGTTGAATCTGTTCGTTATTTCACCGTTACCGTGGACGTATCGGGTGTAAAGCAGCCGTCCAGCGTCGTAAACTCAAAGCGTAACCCCGTTTTTTAATCCGTGTCGACGTCCGTTGATCCTCAAACGCCTGAATTATGGTTATTGTTCCCGTAAACAGTGAATTTAGTACGTTAAGGAACCCGAAGTCTGATTTGAATTAGCTGAAAAGGAGAAATCAAATTATTTAAACGTGACAAAGTGAGAAAAAGCACAAACTGGATATTTAAGTTGGTGGGATGCTTTAATTTCTGTCGGTTGAATCGTTGGTTGGTTCAGCGGCGTGGAGCCGACCATCAGCACCGCTCGGTGCACGTTTAAGGTCCTCGGTTTCATTTTTGCTTCTCGCGCCGTCGCTCCAGAACTGGTCCGTTTGCATCACGAGGCTGCAGGAGGTCGGTTGGACTGCAGATGAACGAGATGAGTTTTAATCAATTTCACCTTTAATTTTTTCTCCTGCTGGTTCACGTGAAAACTCTCGACTGCTCCGGGGCTCTGAGGGCTTCTCTCACCTTCTCCATTAGCTCTGATGACTGATTGTACTCGAGGTCGTCTTCATCCATCCCTACTCGCGTCTTCCTGTTTGATACACGGATCTGCTTGGAGAAGCTTTGCCTTTTTTTGTTTGTTTGTTTGTTTGTTTTTTTTGGAGTGCTGTTTTCATAAATAAAAAAAAACGATCAGAGCTAGTACGGAAACTGTAGCTTCTTCTTTTTCCATGTTGTCAAAAGCCATCGGATGAAACCGCTGAGAGAGAAACGAGTCCACATGTTTGTGCAGCTGGATGAAATGTGCAGCAGGCGGCTGCTCTGTCTGTTTGTTTTCTCATTTAGCCAATAAATGCATTTCTCTGAGGTCTGGCGTGTTTTTGCTGCTGGTGATAACCCTCTATTCATGCACCACAAAGAGGCTCGGCTGAGTGTCCCTGTGAGGCCTTCTGCCCTGCACATCCTGTAAAGCCGGAGCGCTCCACTCCGGTGACCTTGGTGGCTGCAGGACAGGAAGAAGAATGGCTCTCGGTTCCCTCCTTTCATCTCCTGTTAGCAGAACATAATGGGGGTTAGAAATCCTCCCACTCAGCTCAGCCTCAACATCTAATGGCTGCTGCTGCTGCCTGTGACTCATCTGGAGCAGGTTTTTTCTCTTTTTTTTTCCCTCTCTCTCTCTCTGCTCCTGGTTCTCGTGTGTCTTTGCTGCGCTCGGGCGACCCGCAGCTGTGCACATTCTGCAGGAGCCTGAACGCTGCATCTCTTCTGCTGCGGGACGTTTGTCTCAAACTATGACCCAATCGACGGGTGTTGCGTACTTTGAGCTCCTCCTCGTCCGAAGCTGCGCAAAGTCGCACGCAAGCACGAGCAAGCGGCGCGGCGAGCGCGGCGGCGGCTCCTTCACAATAAGAGCGGGTCGCAGGATAGTGGCGCAGACTTGCGGAGGGACGTTTTGACCGCAGTTTTTAATGTGCACAAGACATGTTTGGTGATTGCTGCTTCAGTTTTTAAAATCTGTAAATACGTTAAGGTATTCTTGCAGCTATTACAACATTATTTTTAGAATTATTTTTAAACTTGAACCAACTAAATTGGACGTTTTATCTCATTGTACAGAAAAAAACAACAAATATGTAATATTGCATGTTAGTTGTTGCATCTTAAATCCTCAAATTTTTAGAAAAAATTCCTCTTTACAGTAAATTTTAAGATGCATAAATACACGTGTGAAATCTTAGCTTCATATGTCGAATACTTTTCGAGCTGAACTTTTTAAAAATGTCGCATTGAGCCACTCTCAGCAGGTTTTTTCACACATTGAGATCTGAGGCTGTTTAAACGACAATATCTCAGATTTATTTCTCATCGTGTCGTTGATTTTGACAAGTCGATCAAATAATCTGATTATTGGTGAGTTGAAATATGACAAAAATAAAATCCCATCTTTGAGCACAAATGAACAAAGAAGTTTGAGAGTTAACTGGTGATATTTTCTGAGCCGTGTGAGGCTGCGTGTCTCATTCATACACAACAAAACATAGAGAATACTTATAATATGAACAAAAAACGGAAATAAAAATACCAAAGTGCAAATACTTGGCCACAAAAATGAAAAAGTTTACTTTTGTTGGACATGTTTAAGGTTTGACAAGTTGTAGAACAAAAACAAAACGTATTTGTAGATACAGAAGTAGAGATATAGAAGATTTTTGTTGTCTATTTCTCTGTACATCAGGACACACAGAGGAACATTAGTGCCATACTTTTTTTTTAAAGGATTAAAAATGCAGTATTTATAAAATACAATTGTATATATACAAAAATCAACCTCTGTATACTTATGATGGTGTAATATAGCTTGTAAAGTCGGCTGCAAAAAGGTCATGTGCAGAAGAAAACCGTGTTAACGAGATGTGCGTTGTTTTATAGTGTAAAGGTCAGTTAGTGTGCAGCGTTTAGAGTTAATACGATTCTGGGCTTTTATTTTGAGAGTCTCTCCCGGAAGCGCCCCCGTTAACGCGCAGCAGCTTGACAGCGGTCCCGTCCAGCTGATGAAGCCTCCTTGAGTTCAGTTTGCCCGGTGCGCACCGACGACTCGGAGGGTCTCGGAGCTCCAGCATCCCGCGGACACGGCACCGGAGGAGGCGGCGAGGACCCGAGCAGCTGCCCTGCGATTTGGAACCGGATCGTTCACCGGGACCGGAGGAGCGGAGAGAGAGAAACGGGGGGGACAGCGGCGTGTGCTGTCCGGACGCAGATGAGCTCACCACAGTCCCGATTCTGACACCGAGATGAAAGCGGCCGGCAGGCAGGTGAGCATGACGGCGGAGAAGCTGAACGGGGACATGAACCGGAGGCCGAGCTACCCCGGAGAGCTGCGGGCCAAACACGCCAACATGTCAACTAAGATTTGGGTGAAAGTGGCCATGGCGATCGCCTATTTCCTCTGCGTGTCCGTGGCCGCCTTCATCCTGGTCATCTACTATGTGTTCTTCTGGACACCCAACGACTCGCGCAACAACACCAGCACCGAGGCGCCGAACCGCACCGACTGCCCGCCCCGGTTCGGATGACCGCACAGGCG